TGTTTGGAAGAATCACAGCTCTGGACCTGAACCCGGAGCGAACAGAGCTTCTGACCTGTTCCCGTGATGATCTGCTCAAGATCATTGATCTGCGGGTCAGTGCTGTCAAACAGACCTTCAGGTGAGTGTATTCCTCACAGGAGCACTGTGAATTTCAGGACCTTGTATTGTGGGTTACCCTTAGTGCTGGAGTGGTTTCCAAGACCTCTGTGAAGAGAGCAGTCTCCTCACTTTTCTACATGGCAAAGTTCTCTAGAATGTCTAGATACAGCAAAGATCTGCTCTAATGGATCTTGTCATGTTTCTCTTTAAAGAAGGCACCTTGGCTTAGAAGTCTGTGTTCTAAAGGAAAGAATTTCTTCAGGGGCCATTGAGAGAAGGATGTATGAGAAACATGAATTGGGATAAAGGGATGCTGGAGTTTATTCTAAACCATACAGAAATACTTAACATTGTCTTTAGTAAGTATCTCTTCTCATAAATGAGTTAACAGTTATCTGATTCTAACTTTCCAGTGCCCAGGGATTCAAATGTGGCTCTGACTGGACAAGAGTTGTGTTCAGGTAAGGCCAGACATGAACAAGATACCTGATAAACCTTTTCCCAGCTAAACTGAGTGATTCCTGATGCTTGACTGAAGTGGTCCCCAGTTACAGGTAGAAAAACGGGGCAGAGTTTATAATTTGTCCCAGGTTACCTCTTGGTCAAGGTAGAGTGTATCTGTAAATATTGATTCAATGTCTTGGAAATGCTCTGATTTCAAAGTGCTTTCAGCTCTTAGTATTAGCAGGTGATAACACATAACTCCTAAAAGACTATTTAATGCCAAGTTGCTTGCTTAGGAAGTTGTGGGTGGAATGATGATATGTGCTGAAAATTGCTGACTTGCAAATTGTTCCTTGCCTTCTGCACCTGGTCTGATGTGACAGCCCTGATGGTAACTATGTGGCTGCTGGCTCAGCTGATGGGGCCCTCTACATTTGGAATGTGCTTACTGGGAAATTGGAGAGGACGCTTGCAAAGCATCACAGGTGAGGGAAGTGGGACATGTAGCCTAGGGTGGGGATCTTGGTTGTGGATCTTGCTGAGCTATCAAAAAGTTGGAGTTGTACAGCTTTACAACTTTTATTGGCATGTGAGAATAATTAATATGCAAAGTCTTTGTGGATTTATGGCAGTATTCTCTAGATTGAATTAGATTAGATTTGTTGTTATCTTGTTAAACTGAGATATGATTCTAGTAAAGTGCATTCAATATGTTTTGAAGAAATTGTACCTCCCTTAGACTTACGAAAAGCCCAAATCGCTTGAGATGTGAGAAACTGGGGTTTTTTTAAATTGGTAATAAGAGTATTACAATATTTCATTCCAGTGCCAAGAGCTGTTGTGGAATTCAGCTTTTTTTAAACTGACTCTTGCCTTCCCTTTCAGTTCTTCTATCAATGCAGTCACGTGGTCACCATCGGGTGCCCACGTGGTCAGTGTGGACAAAGGAAACAAGGCTGTGCTGTGGGCTGAGTTCTGACTGACGGAGGGTCAGAGGCTGAGTGTGCTGGTGCTGCTCCGTGCCTGCACAGCATGGACACCCGAGCCCAGATCCATCCAGAGGCAGGATATGGACAAGCACATGGGCTTTCCTTTCCAGAGGGAAGTTCTAAAGCAATGGAGAAAGGAGCCTGAGTCAGAGACTTCTCATGGCCAAAACTGCACTGTGGCACTTGGACTCAGAATGGGATTAGCTGTTGTAGATGGAGAATGCTACTTAGTCATGCCTTTACTTGCAGTATCTATGCACCACGTGGAGCTGAAGATACTAGCGGGATTCCTCACCAGACAGCTGTGCCAAATATCCTGTCACACAAATGTATCTACAGCACTTCTGAGGTGGAAACTTTGGAAAGAAGTCATTGTGTATGCTGACTTAAAGCATGTTCTGTCTCCTGTGTTCTGTTCTGGTGGCCTAGTTCAGGCATGGGGTGAGAAGATCCTGAAACACGTCCTAGGCGGTTTGAAGTGTTGGAACAGCTTTTAAAGAGGGTCTCCCATGGCTCTGACAGCTCTGCCTTTGAGTCATGAACTCAGTTTAGATCTGTTCTGATCCTGGCACAGGCTCTCCAGCACTGTCCTGTGAACTCTGTGCATCGGTTCTTGAGGCAACGGTTTGTTTGTTCTTCAGGACTTCTGCACCCTTGTGTTGAAATGCCCTTCAACAGCTTGGGCATCACAAAGTAGGAGGTTTTTTAATCTTTTTATACCACAGGCCATTTGATTAGTGGGTGTGAGGAGAGAGCTAAGCTTGGTGAGGTTGTTCTAGAAGTTGTGCTGCAGTGATGAGGAATGTAGTAATCCTGTGACTTCAGTCCTGGAATACAGATGTTTGGTTCCTTTTTCTGTTGATCCGTCCTGTCCTGGCGGCTGTCAGTACATGGGGGAGCAGTGGCATCAGATCCCAAATCCATTGTTTTGGTGCTGGCAATTCCAGGCCACTTGCCCCGTTCCTGAGCACACGTGCAATATTCCCATTTGCGCTGGAGCCCTCTGTGGTACGGAGCGGTGTCTGAGCTCTGTCCCTGTTCTGGCACCCTAAACCATGATGTGTCTGAGTGTGAGCTACCTGGCATATCTTTATCCAGCCAAACCTTTCCACATCATCTGGGCCTCAAGACAAGCCACCAGCGTTTTATTGCCTTTTTATTTGCACTTTATTTTCTTCTTTCCCGATAGTGTTTTACTGTGGAAGTGTGTTCTTTGGAGGGGCTGGGTTCGGGAGCTGGTCTGACAGGCTCCCTCTAACCCAGCCTTTCCCTCAGACACTTTCTGCAGAGGGGAATTAGAGTACATGGGGCAAAGTTTTTATTTATTCAGCTGCCCATAAGAACTTGATTGTAAATAAACTTGTGTTCTGCTTTTAAAACCCCACACTGCTCTGATTTATTTATTTGTGCATCTGTGTGCGAGATCTTGTTTGGAATAAGTGCAGAGGGGGATCTGAAATACGTTTTCCTGGTGAATTGTGGAGTTTGGTGTCGAGGGGGAAAAAGGATAACGTTCTGAGCTTGGGGCTAGATGTCCTGCAGGTGCAGCCTGGGCTTGCACTGTCTCAGTAGTCCTGCCTTGAGCCTGAAGAAAGTCTTGCCTCATTGAACAAGTGCCTCTGTCTCTGTCCTTGAAAGGTTGATGTATTGTTGGATGTTTTAGATAAACTACTGAACTGAGGAAATCAGGATCTGTATTTCAAACACTGCTAAAAATAGGTGTCTTCTTCTGCTGTGAGGCTTTGACTGCTAGCTTGTCAAGTTTTTAAGACAGGAATAGGAGTTGCACATTTCTTTAAAAACACAAAAACCCTGTTGAAGATGTTGCTCTGGTTCCAGCTTCAGAGTGATGAAGCAAAGTCTTCAGCTTTTCAGGGTACAAATTTCATAACCAATAGCTGGCACTGGCCACCCTCTGTTTTTCATCAGAAAATAAGCTTTTATTCAGCTCATGGATGTGAGAACTGTAGCAAAAATGGAAAGTTGGTGTTCTGAACAGTTTCTAAGGGCAAGGTATTTTTTCTTCTGCCTGTTGCAGTGGCATATGGTCCTTGAAAAGGCACCTGCCACGAGTCCAGGTGACCTTGGTTACTGCAGGAAAGCAGATCACAAAGTGGCAAGTCAGCATGATGAAAGATTATTGGGAGATTAGCATAATAAAAACTGCAGGCTCTGCTGAAGAGGATCAGAATGGGTTTAGGATGTTTATAATTTAGACTGCTGCACTTGTGTTTTTCTAGAGCATGGACACAGATCTTACCCAAAGGGCTTTGCTAGGCCCATTGATGCCATTATGAAGCAGGTTAACAATGCTGAAGGATAAAAGCCAGCTAGCTAAATCCTTAAGCATTTTAGATTAGGGTTCCTTAGCACCAAGGTATGTAAGAAATTCTAGTGAGCAATTTTAGCTTTTCTTTTTTTCCTTTAGTTTGATTACTTCTATTGCTTCCTTTTCTGCTCCAGCCTGCAGACAGAAGAGCTGCAAATGAAGGAACCTGCAGTGCAGAGGTGGCTGTAGCAGTTTTGCTGCCAGAGGTGGAGCTGCCCTTCAAGTGGATTTGGGGGTGGGTTGGGCACCTTTCTCTGGATTAAGGGTGCACTAGGAGCATGTGTTACAGAGAAGCTGTTTCCAAGATCCTCTGAAGATGTTTGCAGTGGTACATCAGGCCAACAGGAATGCTCATCCTCTCCTGGAGAACTAATAACCCTGCAGTGGCTGCAGCACAGACTTGTACAAAACCAGCTTCCTCCCTTTTGCTTTTGCAAAGTGTGACTGAGTTTCATCTCTGGGGTTTCTTCCTTACTTCCTACAATAAGGACCTGGCTTCCCTTCTGCAGCACAGGCACGTGTGAATTTCTGTGGTACCAGCCTGGCTGGTTTGTGTTTGTCAGAGTTGATTAGACAGAGTAGTGATTAAGCTCTCCAAATAATCCACCTCTAGTTAATAAAATATTGCTGGAACCCTGAAAGAGCTGAGGAACATTGGTTCTGTCATTCATTTTTTTTGAGTAATTTGTGTAGCCCTGGCCACTATATTCAGGCAAATGTCAGTGATTGTTTGTGAAAAGCTTGATCTGTGACTGTAAGGTTGCTCGAGCTGGAGGGAGCTGCTAGGCTGGCAAGTGGACAGGATATCATGTGATCCTTGTAATCAAATGAACAGATGCAGCCAGAGGAAAGCTACAGCTGTTCCTACAGCTCACAAGCCAAAAGTTAACATATTCTGTTGTGCAAAATAGCAGGGCCAAATTCACTGGTGTGGGGGGGAAGCTACTCTTGGAAGATTAAGGAACAGCAAAGCTGAAGTTAATTGAAATATCTGTGTTTCTTAAATCCCAGATGTTGTGGTTTTTTAAGTAAATTGAGGAGGAGATTGTACAAGCCAGCAGTCTATTGTTTTGCATCAGCATGTCAGTTGGCTGCTGGTGAAGCAGTAATAGATAAATTGCTTAGTGATCATGAGAATAGTGCATTGTTCTCAGTGTTTGACAGGCCATCAAAATGGCATTTTAGTGTTTTATAAACTCCCTTTTTCATAAATGGCTCTTGTCTGTTCAGTTTCTTACCAGGCTGCGTGTCTTGCAGCCCTAGGAAGGAGGAGATAGAGCTTAAGAATAAACTGCTTTCAGTAGCTGTCCTGTGCTACATAAGTCCTGGCAAAACATGTGAATAGGATGTTGTAGACCTCTTCACTGACTAGCTGAGTGTCCTTAGGTAATGCCTTGTTGTTGCTGACTTAACCACTTCCCAGCTGAATCTCAACCCAGGTACAATATTTGCTCTTGCAGAGGGATTAATTATTGAAATCCTGGATGGACGCAACTAGAGACGAGCTTTCCAATCCCCTACAAATTGTCTTCCTTGCTTGTGAAGAGGGCAGTAATTCCCTCTGGTAGGTGCAAAGAAGCATAGGACACAGCTGCCTTGGAAAATTCATCTTTCTTCAATAATTTAGAAATTCCCATCACTGTCAGTGGAAGCTCCTGTGCCACTTTGAGCACAGCAAGGTATTTAATGTTATTTGCTGGTCTGTTTGTTTGAGTCTACAGCATGTCTAGTCAGCAACAAATACTGGTCTGGGCTTGAAAAACCTACTTAATGAAAATAGAAATGCTTACATGTGTATGGTCTGCTTCTAATGTCTGCCTTACATTTTTTTCAGCTTTCCAAGAAGCCACGTGTTTCCTTTTTCTATGGTTTCTATGGTTGTCTGCAAATAGGCCCTGTTTTACTCTTGAAGCAGTTTTAAAATGGGAAAGCAAGCTGAGAAATAGAATTGGAGCAAACTGCAAGGACACTCATACTCCATCAGAGCTGGGGTCTGTAACACAGTGCTCTCATTCACACAGCTCTGATGGTGAGGAGTGTAAGGACAGGGTATGTGTGGCATCATCCTTTCCTGATGCTGCTCCTCTGCTTCAGAATCTTACAGGGTTAAGGTTGCTCCTGGATCCTCCTCCAACAGCTGCCAAAAGCCTTTTTCCCTGTGAATGTGTCTAATCCTGTGATTCAATTCATATTGTGGTTACCAGAGCCACCTTGAATCTTCTGTTAAATGGGGAAATGCTTCACCTTATTTAAATTTGCTGTCTGATCATTAACTGGATGCTATTTTGTGACTTAGAACAGAATGAAAGGTTAATCTCCCTACTTGGTACCACTTAGGTTTTCTGGACTTCTCTCTCTGGAAGTCTCTTGTGCCCTTGTGCTCTCCCCTTTCTCTTCTTCCCTTCTTTTTTCCACTGCTTCTCTTATTTTTCCCCCATTCTCTTCCCTCCTGCTCTTTTCTCTCCCTCCTTATTTTTCTCCTCCTGAAGAATTTTTATTCCATATGTTTTCTACCCCTCCAGGTGCAAGCTGTTCCCTACCTCTAAGTATAATTGTTGCCTTTCTGGGCAGGTGTCTGGGCTGTTCTATCCTTATAGTGCATTCTGGTTTGAGCTCAGTGCTGCTCTGCCCATAATGGGCTGCACTGGGTTCTGGTTGAGGAAAATGCAAGAGCACAGATGAGTTCTTATTTGGGGATTGGCCTGACTCCTTATCAACACAAACCACCTTGGTAGAGGTGAGCCACCTTTTAGAGAGAGCCACCATTTGGATGTGTGAGGGGGTCTGAAACAGCACCAGGAGTTCAGTGCTTTACCTGCTGCTTTTATCTCATCCACCTATTTTTCCCAGGCATCTGGCACAGGATATTTTGGGACAGAAAAGCTTCATTCACCCACAGTCACATCCCTGTCTTTGACCATGAGCCGCCCTGAGTCTCAAAAGACTGGGACTGGTGGGAAGAATGCTGATTCTCCTCCAAAACAAGTTATCTTCAGAAAAAGCACCCGTGACAAAGCTGTGAGTACAGTAATAATGGGCTTATTTAGGTTTGAGTTTTACCTGTAGTCAGACTGAAGACTTATTAGAAAGCTCTTTCCTGCCCCCTTTATTTTTTTCTGAAGAAAAGGAGGGTGACCCATATTACCACTAAATTCGAGGAGATGATGTAAACAGTTTTTAGGGCAAACTTTTCATATGTTATAATACAAGGGAAGGCAGCTCACCTCACTTTCCTCCTGTGTTGTACTTCTACTGGTAAATGTGTAAAACAAACCTGATTCATTGTCTTTCCAACCTGACAGCACCAAAAATTTTTACATCTACACTTCTTTGTCCCATGCACAAGTATTTGTGTTGTACTTTTGGGAGTTGGTCTAGATCAGGTCTTCAGTTCTGATATCCTGCATGTGAATAATCCTGTTGAGTCTGGTGGGGGGTTGCTTGTTTGCTGGAAAAACAAAATTCCACTTAAAATGGAATTGTTCTGATGTCTGCAAAATTTATAGCTCTGATGTGTGTGTCCCCCTTCCCTCAACAACCACAAACATTTTAAAGTTCAACTGTGGTCATCCTCTCCACACAGCTGACCATCTACCTGGGAAAGCGGGACTACATTGACAACATAGGCAATGTAGAACCCGTAGGTAAGTCCACGAGGTTATGTGCTGCTCTTCCTGCTCTCAACCCTGCTTTTATCTATGTTAATCTTCATTTTTCCCTTTCTTTCAGATGGTGTTGTATTGGTGGATCCTGCAATTGTCAAGGGGAAAAAAGGTTTGAGGTTTTATGCAATGTATTTCTCAGAAATTGTCTTTCTGAGTGAGATGCTAAAATAGAACCTTTGAAGGGTACAAATGTAACTCTGCCTCAGTGAATGAGCTTCTTATCAATGTTGTCTGTTGTTCCACATGGGATGAGTACTCACTGGGTTATGCAAGTGTTGAAATGAGTTCCCATGTCTCCCTGAGGCAGGAGGTGTCCCCATCTCTGCCTGGCTTCACTGTTTTCCTGCTGCCTGTTTCACCTGTCCTGTGCTTCTTGCCAGTGTTTGTGTCGCTGACGTGCGTGTTCCGCTACGGCCAGGAGGACATCGACGTGATCGGCCTCGCCTTCCGCCGGGACCTGTTCTTCTCCAGGGTCCAGGTGTACCCACCTGCTGACAAGCCAGAGTCTCTCACCCTCTTGCAGGAATCTCTGCTAAAGAAGCTGGGGAAAAATGCTTATCCCTTTTTCTTTACAGTAAGTATTTCAGAAGAGCCTCTGATTCTCTTCTTGTTTGTAGTTACCAGGCTCTTGAGGCCTGGTGATGGACTGAAGATGGGAATTTATAGTGAATTCATGTTCTTCAAGTTCCAATTTTGAGTGACAGGTGGTGTTACCAATGTTTTTCTTTCTTCTTGCAATCCTGAGAGGTAAAGTGCAAGAAGATCCTAACTGTGCAGTGATCACAGCACTGTGAGAAGTGCTTTCTTAAAAAAGGCAAGGGAATTTGCAATAGCTTTATGCTAGCAACAGCCCCATATTCTTGCCTTCCCGTTCCTGAGGGGCTGGAATACTTTTTACCATTTCCCCAGTGCCAAATCCTTTTCCTTTAAAAAGTTTGGATCAAATAAGGAGATGAAAAGGTCTTTGACAGCTGATGACAAATGACAGCTGACTGCCAAATTCTGACAGGAAATCCTTCCTGTGCTGTCAGTCATATGTCTGTCTTAGTGTTCCTGAGGAAGATTCACATTGTGCATGGACTTTTTTTTTCTTTCTTGACTTTTAAAGTATTTTTGGAAGAAAGGGATTTGTTCATACAAGACAAGTATACTAGCCAGAATTCCACAGGGTTATGGCTTTACAATGAGTGACCCCTTGTTTCCAGGACTGCTTTTGTGAGCAGTATGTTACCTAATACATCTGTGTACTATTGGTTTGGGGCATTTCCTCTTCTTCCTCCCACAGTTTCCAGATTACCTGCCTTGCTCAGTCTGTCTGCAGCCTGCACCTCGTGATGTTGATAAGGTGAGACCAGTGGGACACTTAAGCTTATTGTGGTTAAGGAAAGTTAGATGAAAAAAAAAATGAATTTGTTTAGCTTGAGAGTTATAGAAGGTGATACAGATTTTACAACTGTCAGGAACTTAGGGCTACAAGTATGTGTCACAGAATTGGAGTTGAAATCCTCAGAATAAGAAAGGGAATCCAGATAAATAGCAGCAAGACTATAAAATCTGCAGTGTTGTAGCTTCTTTAAGACTATCACATGATTTGTGCTTTGGCTGCACATAAAATGATTGTGGCTGTGAAACTACATGAAAGAAAAGAAGACTGAGTGCCTAAAATCTCACAAATTGCTATAAATAACATGTGTTGGGACCTGCCCTGAATAAAATGCAGAGAAGAGCTGGCTTGTATGTATGAGTAAACAGAACAAAAACCCTGTAGAAAAAAATCACTAGATAATTATATGTTCTGCAAAGTTTCTGATACTGTTAAAAATATTCCTTTTATACTTGACTAGATGCTTGTCTGGACAGCAGAGCTAGGCAATCAGCTGGGCAAAGTGGGATGAGGGTTGTAGAATCTAGTGCATAAAGGATAACCTGTGTTTTAAGCCAGGGAATATTCTAGCAAAAATATCTCTGTAGAGAATTACCTGGAACTCGCACAGGTGCCCCACAATGCTATAAACCTGTTAAAGCAAAGGTTAGCTTGGCATGATCACTTCCACTCCTTAGATGCTGGTTTTGGCATTACAAAGCCACCTCAGAAATTCAGTTCAGAAACCAGGGTGGGCCAGGCAGCATAGCACACTGGTCAGTCTTAGGATGTGACCTTTCCAGCACTGGTCTCACAGGAAGCCTTTCAGGAGCAGGGATGGCAGCTCTCAGAGGCTGGTCTCATTCATCAGAAGCCCTGTAGAACAGGTGAATGTGCCAACACCAGTTGTCAGGGATGTCTGTGACAGTGGTGGGAGGCCAGAATAATTTGCAGCTGGCAGGAGTCTGCCAATTTCTGGTGTGCAGAAAGATACTGAAACATCTGCAGATGTTCCTGTCTTCTGATCCTGATTTCACAGCTGTCCTTTCTCTGTCTGGCAGACTTGTGGGGTGGACTTTGAGGTGAAAGCTTTCTCAACAGAAAATGTGGAAGAGAGAATTCATAGGAGGTAACAGGATGTGTCTCTCTTCAGCTTTGCCTTAAGGGGATGGGTGGTCCAGTGGTGCACCTGGGTTGTTTGTTCAGCTTTGCCCCCTTGTCAGTGACTTCCTGGGTGTAAGCACATGGGAATGCAGAGTTCCTGCCTCTGCCAAGCACTGGGTGTCACCATGGTGTCCTCTGCTCCTTCCCAGGAACTCTGCACGTCTGCTGATCCGTAAGGTGCAGTATGCTCCGGAGAACCCAGGACCCCAGCCTTGTGCAGAGACCACCTGGCAGTTCTTCATGTCCAACAAGCCCCTGCACATGAAAGCCTGCCTCAGTAAAGAGGTGAGGGGGTGTTTGCCCTGGGGCTGGGGGCATCATGGTATCTGCAGGCCAATGGGCATTTGCTGCTTTCTCAGCTGAGACTGACTTGTCCCAGCACTCAAGGGCTCTAATGTAATTTCTGTTAGTGATTACTGCTAGGGGTGGTTGAAGCCCTACCAAACACATTTGAAGTCATTGAAGGAGGGGTCATGAATCACTGGGAGGGGTCATTTCCCCTACCTGTGAGGTGTAATCTGGGGGAACTAGAGGGGTTAGGGCTTGGAAAAAGTCTCCTGGCTGGATTTCTGAGCATCACATTCCTTCTAGGTATACTACCATGGTGAGCCCATTCCAGTCACTGTCACCATCAACAACAACACAGACAAAACTGTGAAGAAGATCAAAGTCCAGGGTATGTTTTTACTGTTGCTTGAGATTCTTTGAGTGCAATAGGTCTGAAAGAGAGACAGAATTTAGTGCTTGTAACACTTTAAGAAGGCAGTTGGGGATATCAGGAATTTGTCCCTCCCCCCTGTGTGTTGCTGTTTCTTTGCTGTTTGTCAAGGGAAGTGCTGTAGCTTTTCTCCTGATTCCTGTGGTTACTTGTATGTCCTAATTTCAGGTACCAGATTTTCCCCCATAGAAAAAGAGAAGGGGTCTGGCTCCTGCAGTGGGCAATGCAGGTGTGGGAACAGTGGGGGAAATGCACCCTTATTGGGAGGTCAGTGGGAAGGGCTCCCTGTCAGTGTGATGCTCCTGCTGACTGTGAATGTGCCTAGATACCATACAGCTTTGCCTGGTGTTCCAGAAACCTCTGGCAGTGTGGGAAACTCTGCCAGCAACAGTGTCATTGCTCCTGAGGAAGCTGAAGGCAGGGGCTGAGCTTCATTGCTGTGCCAGTGTTTTATATGTGACACTACATGTTTTCATCCCACAAGCTGCAGAGCTGGGGAAGACAGTCTGAAAGACAAAGGATGGGAAAGTGAAAAGAAGGCAGGGAGAGACCAAAATGGCTGAGGCTCCTACAGAATGATAGCAGAGAAAGGTGTTTCACTGCCAGTCTGGGATGTACTGTGATTCCCAAATATTTTTAGGCTCTTTTTTATGCCTCTATTAGGCTTAAAAAGACCTTGTTGGTCTCAGATTCTCTCCTCTTCAGTGTTTCAGTCAGAATTACCCTGGGATTTTTTTGTGTAGGATTGGAGAACATAAGCCATTTGTTATCCCAGGCTCTGTGCTGATGCTCCTGAATGCACATGCATGGGCTGTGCACAAGAGATATCAGGACCAGAGATAAAAGCAGACCCAAACTGAGAGGGAAGAGGGACATCTTTACAATGGAAAGAGAGGATCCCAAGAGAAACTGTGTGTTACTGACTTTCTGTTGTCTCCAAATCAAGGCCAGGTGCCTTTCAGGGAAGACAGACTTTGGCCACTGGTGTGCTGTTTGTCTCTGTCCAGGTCAGGCTTTCTGTCCTGATGGTCCCTTCAGGCTCTAAATGGATGGGGTTTTCTGCTTTCTTCACCATGTTTCCCATTCCTGGGGCTTGGGGTGGGGGCAACTGTGTTGTTTGTGGTGCATGCACACCCCTAAGTGTCTGCTTTCCTCTTTCTCCCTCAGTGGAGCAGGTGGCCAATGTGGTGCTGTACTCCAGTGACTTCTACACCAAAGTGGTGGCTGCTGAGGAAGCACAGTGAGTGAATGCTCCTGCTCCTTCACACCCTTTTAATTACCCTTGTCATCAGTGATGAGAGGTTCTCATACTACAGTCTGGCAGTCTCCTGCAGTTACAGTGCTCTTACCTCGTGTGTGCCACACCACTCAGCAGCTGGTCCCCTTTTCACAGAGCAGCAGAGATTCTCATGTTTTTTCAGGGAACGGGGATGTTGCAGAAGAGGTTTGAAGAGTAATTATCTGCTACACGAGCTTAGTGGTGGCAGCAGAAGGTTCCCAGTTGCTGGAAATCTTGAAATAGAGATGCAAAACTTTTCTGAAAGGTGCTGCTGTTTGACTGGAAGTCATGGACACTCTTGCTTGAGCAAGAGCATTTCATTTGGTTTCTTCTGACCTGACAAAGCCCACAGAAACATTGAGTCTGTAGATGTTATAGAGAGCCACTTGCTTCTTTTCACTGTACTGGCAGTGCAGCTCTGAACCTCACACTGGGAGGAGGGTTCAGCATACCCAGGTGCTTTATATTTGTCTGGTGTTGTGCTCTGTAGCTTAGGGACATGTTTTCCATTCAGTATTGGTATTCTTAGCCAGATTAATTTTGTCCAAATTCAGAGTTTTGCAGCACAGAGGGTGTGGCCTCAAGTTGCACTCAGGGAGGTGTAGATTAGATATTAGGAAAAATCAACGTGGCACTTTGGGACATGGTTCACTGGTGGCCTTGGCAGTGTTGGGTTAGTGGTTGGACTTGATAATCTAAAGGGCTTTTCCAACCTAAACTATTCCATTATTCTGTGGTTTTGACCTACTTTTCTGCCTTAATGTGAAATTAGGCATTTTCTATAAGTGCTTGTTTTTCTCTGTTGATTAGAAAGGCAATTTTGCTGACTAGATTAGAGGTGGACATCTGTATTGTTGACAACTGAATTTGCACAGATAAATTCCTCTCCTTTTGGGCAGCTTTGTAACCTCTTTTGAAATTCTCCTAGTTGGGTGTGTACCAAACCACAGTGTATCACTTCCCTTCTTATTTTCAGTGAAAAGGTGCAGCCAAACAGTAGCCTGACCAAGACACTGACAGTTCTGCCCTTGCTTGCAAATAACCGGGAGACACGGGAAATAGCTCTGGATGGAAAACTGAAGGATGAGGACACCAACTTGGCTTCTAGTACCATGTGAGTGGAGTTTTAAATGGCCCCAGGTTGTAGGAGAGTTACAGAGAAGAGGGGAGCATGGAGGAGACACTTCCCTCAGGACTTTGTTGTGCCCGGAAGGATGCATGTGGCACCATTACTAGAACCATCATGTTCCTTCAGGGTGAATGGGGATCACAGAGCTGGAGAGGTATTGGCTGCACCTGAGGCTTGCCTGCCCTCCCCCTTCCAGGATGTTCCCCTTGTTCTTGCTCCAGGTGTGTGTTGTTGCTATACTGCTGTGCCACCTCACTCTGCTCTCTGTTTTCTCTGGCAGCATTAAGGATGGAATAGACAAGACAGTGATGGGGATTCTGGTTTCCTACAAGATCAAAGTGAAGCTCACTGTTCCAGGGTAAGTGTAACACACTTTTTGCTACATCTGCCTGGAGTTAAGGGAGGGGAGGGTGTTTGTCACTGATGGGTGAGGAGAGACCAGAACAGTCCACCCCAAGAGAAAGGGCACATGTTATAGGATGTGAGGCTCCCTGTAAAGCATTAATTGCCTGGAAAACAGTCTTGGCCTATCCAAAGAACTTGTCCTGAGCCAAATGGTTTGTGTTACTCTCCTTAGATACCATATAACTTCATGGTTGAAGTAGGAACCTCTGGTTTGCATTGCAATTATTGTTTCAAAGCTATAACCTATTTTGTGAGAAGTAAGGTGAAATTTGGTGTGAACTTCTTATGTTGGCATGGCTGTTCTCCCAGAGCAGAAGGTGAGAAGCAAAAGGTGCCTGAGAGTCATAAATACTGTAGCTCAGGTTCTGTTCTCAGCCAGTACAGAACCTTTCTGGGTTTCTGGGTAAAGCTGATGTTATCGACGTGAGATAGATCCAGGATCTAACAGTGCAAAAAAGGACCAGGATAGTGACTCTCAGTTGATGCTACTCACCATTTACCTTTGTATTTCATTTAGCTATGCTTTATTCTAGTATAAAAATGCATCAAAGATTTGCCTAAAGTGTGATAAAATGCCTGCTGCTTTCTGTGGGCATCCACTTGCCTTTTGGCTCTTGGAAATGGGGCCATGCCCAACATTTGGTCAGGAGTTCAAAAACTTAGACTCTTTGTCCATGGGAATGACATGAAAAAGTAAGGCTATCTTTTTTAAAAACAGTTCAGTTGAATTTGTGGCAAGTAGAGAACAGTACATGAGGAAAGTTATTTCAGTAGTCCACCAATTAAACAGCACTTGTTGGAGCACCAGAATAGAGAGACATTAAATATTCTTTGTTTTTCTCCTTGTTTTCTTTTGTAGCATACTGGGAGACCTCACTTCCAGGTAAATGTCTTCTTCCTTTTCAGACCATGCAGTCCTAGTTGTTAGTTCATCTCTTTATTCTCTTTTTTATTGCAATTCTCACCTCCCTAAAAAAAGCAACTGTCCCTTAAGCTGTTAGAATCAAGTAGTTTGTGGTTCTCCTGTGAAAATGAAGCTATTACAAAAATATCTTTTGATTTGATATACATGCAAGTACATTCAGCACACAATAAACCCAGTCTATGTAAGTGAATATGCCTGGGATATTTGTGGAGAAATTTGAGCTTAACTTTTTTTGAGAGGAAAATTATGATTAGAAAAATATGAAAGAATGGATGAAGGTGGAGCTGAGGGCTCAGGCTGGCCTAAGGAGGAAGGAGGCTGAACCAGGCATGTGTGTGGAGCTGTGGATCTGATGCATTCTTTCTTCTCCCTAAAGTGAAGTGGGCACAGAGCTGCCATTCCGTCTCATGCACCCCAAACCCGAGGAAAAGAACCCAGCAGGTCAGTTACACCTGGTTTTTGCCTTTGTTCATTAACAGGCTCGGGTGAGATCTCACCATTGTAAGGCTTAGAGTGATTTGTGCTACAGGAAGCCTTCAGAGCCTGGAAGGCCCCAGTATGGAGCTGTACTGTGTGGTTGTGTGTCTATATATGTGTGTCTGTGTGTGTGTATGTATGCATCAACCTCCATGCACTAAATAACAGAGAGTAGGGGTGCAAAGACAGGAGAAAATGGGAAAGAGTCACGTTCCCTTTCATCTTTCATGTATGGAATCACAGCTCAGAGAACAGGGGTTTGAGGAAGCTCTGCACAGTTAAATCCTATGACTGCAGTGCAAAATATCCTCTATGAATCTGTCAGCAATTCCCAGCCAGATTGCAGTATAAGCAAAAAATAAAAAATCTGACACAGAAAATACCTAACACTCATGAGCATTGTACAAAGCCAAATACTTTTAAGCAGAATGAAGAGGTGATAAAACCACTGATGATTCTTGAGTCCCTGTTACTTGATGTGGCATTTGCCATGGTGTCTGTGATGTGGCCTTCTTTTTCAGTGGTTTATCCAAGAGCAACATCTCTTCAATGTTAGGTCTCATCTGTAACAGTGTGAGGAGCAAGCCTTACCCAGGCATCTTGGGCTTGGGATCAGATGCCAAATCCACAGGCTGTCAGAGCATCCCCCCACTTCCTCAGGCCCTGGCTGGCTCTGTTCACCAGTGGTGAGCACCAGAGGTTGCAAGGTGCTCACACCAAATCAGAAGCTCCTGTACAGCGTCTGAAGCCTCTCTTGACCACCAGACACATCAGCCCTTTCCTGCTGGGGCTGTTACAGATGAGCCATCTTGTCCTACTCTCCATAATGGGACAAAGTTTAGTGGGTTTCAAACAAAAGCCATGGCTGCTTTTGTGCTCTTTTTTTTTTTTTTCTTTTTTCTGTAATTTTCTCTTTGTGCCCAAACTGAGTTAAAGCTGCTGTTTCTAAGAACATGAAACTTTCACATCAGAGTGACAGTGGGACCTTTGAGAAGAGTTATCCAGATAAATGCTTTGGTCTATACTGGAAGCGTTAGAAGGGGGTGACTTGAGTCCTTACTGTGTGAAATTGTTGGAGGAATCAAGTGTGAGCAATGAGAAGAGAGCTGGTGATCCACTCCACATTCAGATGCTCTGGTTGGGAATCAGGCTTTGCTAATTATGGATGTGCTGGAGTGGGCAAAGGTAGCTTTTATCTCTCCTCTAACAGTTGCACTACAGGAAGATAATTTTCCCTGGGAAGGCCCCTGCTGTGAGCAGTGCCAGCACATTCTCTTGGCACAGAAGTGGTGGAGGCTGGGATGGCACTGGTGATCCCAGGAATGTGGCTGGTGAGGGCCATCTAGTGCCTCTGGGCAGCTCAGGAGCTTTCATGGACACCAAGGAAAGCTTGAAAACTTCTAGCAAGGCTCATCCAAAGGTTTAGGCAACTGTAAAGAATTTTACATTTTTAGGATGGTGTGAATTTTTATAACAACTTTTTTTTGTGTTAAAAATGCCAACAACCCCTTTTTATTACTTTATACTTTTGGCAGAAGCATTTGTAATATGAGAAAAAATGGAAGTCAGGCAATTCTCCCTTCTAAGATGATTTCAAAGGAGGGATGATGTACTCCTTTATACAGTACACTCAAAAGGATGTGGGCAGAGACTTTACCAGGAAAATGGAGACCTGCAATATTTCTCAGATCACTTCCCCGAGCACATCCTCTTACCAGAGGCACAGCCCACATGTTGTTTGCTACATCAAAGTCTTCTAGAAGCCTGCTGTCAGAAGTGTCAGCTATGTTCCATGCATTTTGTACAGATGGATATACCAGGTTTCTTAGAAACTGAAAATAATGCAGGTAATTTCAGGAGCTCTCCCATGGGAAAGCCCTGCAAATGGTTAACACAGGAAATAAGTGCTTTCTCTTAAAAACAGATACTCTAACAAAACAGAAAATTCCTCTGAAGCCTGAATAGCTGACTTGAAAACTGTGCTGGAATGTGGTGTCTGAGCTTATTACAGGGAATAAAACAGTCTCCCATATGAAGCTGGTAAACTGAAACACTTTTCAGCTTTATTGGTTGGTAGTTTTCCATGCACTGTGCTTTATCACTTTTCCCAGTTGTGAGTTCAGGCGTTTTAATTTTTTCTTCTACCACTTTAGCTCATGAACTCTGAGAAACATAATGTGTTTCATTAGTGAAATGCCATCTAATTTGGAATCAAGCAAATCCAGGCTTAATTGTAGAGATGGAGCTTCAACAAACAGTGTTTGGAATCTCAAAGGTCCCAAAAGATGGAATTTTTCTTTGTTGGCTTGTTCAGCAGCCTCTGCAGTGAGTGTAGGCAGAGGTGCATGCACAGGGAGTTTTGAGATCACTCCTTGTCTTCTTTTTCCATTCCCTTTTGTATTTATTGACGAGTCAGTAGTGACCAGTTTGCCTACTGCACCTTCCTGCTCACTTGACTGTCTTAAGGCACAGCTGGAAGAAAAGAAAGAAGTCAGAGCAACCATCTTATGGAGTTAAAGCTGGAGTGGGATTAAAAAATGCCACATACTGTGATTTATTTTGCAGTGGGGGAATATCCTTTTCTCTAGCCAAGGTGATGTATGGCAGAACTAAAATGTGTAGCATCAATGCATTTAATCATGCAGGGCTGACTGGAGTACAGGGAGCCTCAGAAACACAAGAGCTTCCCAAGAACATGAGGTGATTTTTTCAGGGCCAAGCTGGGGCAAGTGAGAGCAAGTGCAAGCAAGTGCTGTGTGCTCTGTTTCACAGCAGATGGCTTTGCCCTCTCTAGCTGTCTGTGAGCAAGCTCTGAAGCATTCATCACTCAGCAAACAGCAGGTCTGTCACAGTGCATGGCTATTGCAGATTGCTTGATCTTTCTTCCCTGTGCCTGCAGGAGACAGAAAAGAAACAGCTTGCTACCTTTGCCTCCCTGTGTTTATCACTTCCTTCTCTTGATCTTCTGCTAGACCAGGATTTGCATGTTTCATGTGTGCTGTTTTTGTGACTGCTTTTGGACCCATGTGGTTCACATGTGGTTATTTTTAGGCAAAGCAGCTCCTGTCACATTGGCAGTCTGTCTGTTCTGCCTGTTGACAAAAAATGTGTAAGGATCTGTTTCTTTTAAAGATAGATTCAAACTGGGCTGTGTTTCTTCATGCTTCCAAGACCTTTCTGGTCAGCAGTTAGCCCAGAAGTTCCTGCTGAGTTTTCCTCAAGGCTGTGGTCTCAGCATGAATTCTTTGGTCTGGGGTTTTCCTGCCAATCTTCTGATGTTTTACGTTTTGTGGGCCTATGTCTTGGACACTGGCCTTTGTTTTGGCTGTTGTTCAACAAATGGTCATTTATCTGCTCCCTGATTAAACTTGCACAAAAGGGCTGTTTTCAAGAAACTCAGGACTGCTTTATCCCTCTAACAGTAAAATAAAGCAATACTTTCCCTGTTTTGGTATTGTGACTTTCCGAAATTAGGACATTTTAAGGCATTGAATGTCTTGGAAAATAACAAAATCCAATCTCTTTCTCTTTTCTCCCCCATCAAGTTAAGAGAGGTTAAATGAAAGTTTATACTGAAAATTACCACATGTTATGACTTGAATTATATGGAATAATTTCTGTGGCTGCATAATAAAAGATTCCAGAAAACCCTCCCCTGGGAGGACGATGGTATTCTGGACCCTCATCAATCCCCCTCCCATCCCAACCCTCAAAACAATTGCTGGAATGCTAATTAAAAAAGTAAAAGTCTACCCATTTTCTGAGAATTTTTCAGTATTATAATATTAAATAAGCCACAGGACAACCAGAAAACTCTGGAGTGGATCTAACTTCTGCTAGCATGCAATTGGAGCATGTTGGAGTTAGTGTTGCAGCCTGAAGGTGCAGTGGTGCATTTTTGAATGTAATCTTCCATCTGAGGTACATTACAAGCACTACTCTGCTGCCACACTATCTGTGTATTGACTCAGTAATTATTTATCTGACAGTTAAGTCTGTGCCCAATTGAAGCAATAGCTATTTCCCCCCTCACTCCATTTTGTAAAATCAGTTTCAGATCACTGGTGGGGATCTTGCTCAGCTTCACCCACATCACTGATATCAATGTTCCCATAGTAATGAAAGTACCTCCAAGAGGGGAAAGAGAGCAGACTAAAGGAGAAAAATGATGCTTTATATGTTGGAAATTTTAGAAGTTCTAAATGTTTCATTTTAAACCCATGTCAATCAAGCATACATGCCCTGAGACTTTCCAGACTTCATCTTGGCTTCTGTCCTGGTCTGGAGAGATTCTGTCAGGAGTGTCTTTACATGAGCCATCCTTTGAGGCATTTTGGCTTGAGTTGCCCCCTTTGGCACACTTTTAATGCTGACTTTTCTGGCAGTGTGTGTTGTGGATGGGAAGTCTCCAGGTAGTGAGTTATCCAGTCAATGAAGTGCCCCAGATTTTTGCTTCTGTAGAACAAGGGTGCTTTGCTCCCTGACCCAAAGCCATGAGAAGTAAGCCAGTTAAGTGACTATGCCTTCCTAAAATAAATGTGAGAACAATAAAATCCCTGCAAATACAGTCTTCTGTTTATTTTAGGCTGTGCTGAAACAGCTTTCAGGGAGTCCTGCTAGTAAGCAGGATTTGTTATAGTGTGGTTAGGAAAGATCCCACTAAAGAAACACAAGTTCCAAAAGTCTTGAAACCATTTTTAGGGCAAGATGAAATCAGGAGTGTTGCTCCAAAAGCCTTAACCCATCTGATGAGAGATCCCTGAGTTATTTCTGTACTTTGACCTCTAATTTTAATGCCTTCATGTTTATTGAACAAAAGCATTGTCTCCTCATCTAAGTCTAAGCTGACTTTTTGAATCACAGTGATAGAGCAATTAAAGCTGACATCATGTCATGCAAGCACTGTCAGCTCAGAACCCAGGTGAGTGCACAGATGTCCCCCACAGCTGTGACCATGAGCAAGTGTAGATGGGAAAATCTGTCTTTGTTCCTCAGCCCTTCAGATAGCTTGGGCAGCATTGCTGGAATGCTTTTCCATTTGGGAGATTGAGATTTGCCTGATCAGGTGTAGTTATGCACATTTTGAGACTTTCTGGAATTCTACTTGTACTGCTGCAAATCCTGCTCTAGTCACTGCTCTGACTTGTCAGTCTGTACGTTTTTTGCATTAAACATTTTGAAAGTGTTTCAGCCATCTGCTGTTCTGACTACTCAGTGTGTCTCTTTTCCTCCTTTGCTGCATGCTCGTGACTGCAGGGAAGGATGGGTGAGTTTCTTTTAGTATTTCATATTCTAGCTACATTTGTGCATTGACTCTTCTTAAAACTCCTCAAAACTGTCCAGAAATCCCCAGCTTAAAATTCAAAGTGAGCAAGTTACTGTGGCCTGACAAATGACTGCTCTGAGTTAATCAGCAGCAAATGGCCATGTGAAGAGAGATTAAGAGATTGTGTTTTCCCTAACAGCACAAACACACCCAGGAGGGATGTGTTTGTGCTTTATAGCTGGAAGTGTAAGGAACTTATTAGGTTTGACCATGTGTCTCTATTTTAGTATAGAAGGAATAAGGGTGAAATGTTTCACATTTCATTCCTGGACAAAGCCCCTTGCAAGCTCTAGGCTGTTCAGCTAGCTGATAAATATGTATCTGGAGTGGACATGATTCAGTACCGATTAAAAACATCCTCAGTTTGTGCCTTGACTTGCTCAATCAACTGCTTTTCATTTTAGCTAGAATAGCACCAGTGAAGATGGTGCCTGTGGGAATGTGATCCAAATCACTTTGAAACAAAGGAAACACTACCAGTCTGTTGTGGGCTTCTTTTCTTCATCCTGTGTGTTGCCTACAGTCTACTGCTGTAAAAATAGAGTAACATCATTTTAAAAGACCTGTGTTTCTTTCATTACAGCGAAGCAGAGCTTGTATTTGAGGAGTTTGCTCGTCAGAAGCTAAAAAATACACCTGATGAAGAGGACAAGAATTCACCCTCAACTGATGAGTGATTAAAAGAACAGGCTGACAAAGGAGCTATGTTGTCTGGCTTCAATTACAAATGTAGGACCTAAGTTTCTAGTAATCTGCACATTCTCAGTTCATACATGGTCTTCCAGGGATCAGCCCTGAGGTCAGTAGACATGACATCAGGAGTCTGTATTGCTTATTACAAGATTCACCTTGAATTGGGCAAACACAACACTTGGTTCTTACTCAAGCTACCAGAGGATGACAGGACATCTGCCATATCATGACTTCTGCTTTCAGGGCTGCCTAATAAAAAGGTTGGTTGCTTTCAGCACTGGTGAGAGCTTAAATGAGGGTTTATGCAGCCTGCCTGGACTTACTCAGTGTCAGAGGCTGTGACTTTGAAGTGCCAGTGAACGAAATCCTAGCCTGGAAGGCTGGCTTGCAGCCATGGGTGATTCATCAAAGTTTCTCAGCAGACCGTGCAAAACTCATTTTATTTCCTTTTGGTTGCTTTTGCATTGATGCTTTACCAAATTCAGCCAGTGAATTTTTTCTGTGCTTGCACTGTCCCCATGTGGCTTTTACATTAACTTTCTGTACCATTAAATGTCTCACAAGTTGTCTCCCACAGCACAGGCAATGCTGATAAGCAGTATTAGCTTTCTAGCAATATGCTTAATAACCATGTTATTAAAGATGAGATAAATGTGCACTGTCAATGAATTGCTTAAAGCTCCCTATATAGAATGCCAAACAGAAGTACAAGTCCAGACAGAGTCTGTATTTAATCTAGTTTCCTGTAGGCAACTGCTTCAAAAGAAGGTGCAGGAAAATTAAGGAGGAAATTATGGCGCAGCCTTCCCTGAGGAGCCTTTCCCAACATCCATCTGCCAGCAGTTGGTTTATGCTCTAAGAAATGAGATTGCATTCTGCAAACTTTGTTTTTTCTTGTTCATCTGGATATTCTCATTATCCATGTAAATGTCAGATATTTTCCTGAATCTCATGTAGGTTTTTGTTGAAGTGAGTTGCATCAGCTAATTACATTTTGCATGTAAAACATCTGGTGTTTTATTTTTCTCATTTTTGCTTTAAATCTGCTTTTCAGTGTCCCTGGTTTAAATTTCCCTGGAAAGTCTGAATGCAGGGCCCACATTTATTAATATGGACTTATGTTTCCTACCCTACACTCTGGAAAATAGAATTAAGAACTTTATACTTCCATCTGTTAGCTTCTGTAAACTGGTCTTGATTAAGATGCTGGAAGCAGTTAATTAAGACCACAGCTGACTTCAGAGTTCCATCAGTGCTGTCCCCTAACACACCTGTTCCTCAGTGCTGTCCATTAGTCACAGGTGTCTCACCTTAGCTTGAATTGCAAGAAGCACAATGTTTGCTCTGCACTGGGTGCTTTGCTGCTAAAGAAACCGGCCAGTTCCAGGTGTTTGTGATCAGGATAATGCCTGTGTGATTTCAGCTTTGGGGAGGGTCAAGCATTTGCACCTGGATGTCTGAGGATTTTCCCTGGTATTTTACTGATTTGTTGGTGGCTTGAGAACACACAGAAGATACAGTAAAGTTGAAGAAGTTACTGGTTGTAAATATGCTGGTCTTGGAGAACAGGAGTTCAGAAAATCCTTTAAAGATCTAAGAGAAGAAGGGGGAACAGGTCTTACTTCAAAGTGTATCTTTCTCCACCAAGGTGTTTCCTTCAGTGTTTCTGGCTACCAGACCTGAGACCTGTAAGTATGGGACCAGTAAACTCAGAGATCTGATTATTTTTATTATTTTTTTAAATTTCTTATATGTCAACGTTGTGAGGGGCCTCTGTTGCTGCCTGCCTTCCTCTTAAATTCAGCTGTGGTGATGACTTCTGTAAGCTAAGTGGGACAAAATCACAGTGTGCTCCGTTGTGCAGTGGGGAGGAAATGGTTGTTAAATGGTTATTAAATCTGTTCTTTTGTCCGGGCTTGGGAAAGCACTTTGAGATGCTATTTGTTCAGCTCATGCTGGTCATTTACTCAGAGAGCAATGAGGGTTTTCTGCTGGTTCCTGCAGTTCCCTGTCCTGCAGGACAAGCTGGACTTTTCTCTGGCCCTTCAGACAGCAGATCCTGATACCTCTCAGCAAAAAATCGGTCTCTAGACAGAACTGTTTGCCTTTTATCTTCCCTTTCTTATGGTTCTGGTGTTATGTTGATCTACCGAGTCAGACCTATGGCCTGCTCCTCCTGTTTACCGCTGGGGGAGAGCAGATCCAATTTCCCGACTCCACGGCTTTGATGTGGCGGGACTCTGTTTGCGAAGAGCTCGCCAGCTCCCGGAGAGGGATGCGCTCCGGGAGCGATGGCATCTCTGGACCTGCTGTGTTTGAAGACAGCTCGGAGCAAATACATGACAGGACGGGTTTCGTGACAGAGGCTTTCCCCTCACACATCTCCGCGAGATCCCAGCAGGAGCACTGCACTGCCCGTGGCCGATGGGTGTTGGAGAGGCGGGAGGAAATTACCTGGCCACTGCCAATGGAGAGGGGCCGGGCTGGGGGTGCTGCGGGCTCGGCAGCGGGAGCGGCCCGGCCTCAGCGCCCCTGAAAGGCCCTTCGGGGAGGGGGCTGCAAGGCAGGGTGTGCTCGCAGCATTTCTTTAAATCCTGGGAGCGCGAGGAGAGCTTTGGGAGGGGCTGTCCAGGGAGGAGGTGGTGTGCTCCTCCGTGGAGGTGTTCAAGAAATGACGGAACGTGGCATCCAGTGCTCTGGTCTGCTTGACAAGGTGGTGTTTGGTTATGGGTCGGACTCGCTGATGGCAGAGGTCTTTTCCAACCCGAGTGACTTTGTGATTCTGTGCTGCAGTAGCCACGAAGAATGGGAAGGAATGAGGACCGCGGTCCCGGCTGTCGGGCTCGCCTCATTGGGGAGGGCTAGGCTGAACACCTTTGTCCAGGCTCCAAGGAGCTACGGCCGGGCCGTTGCGATCGGCGCTCGGGCGGTCGCAGGGAGCCGCGGAGGGGCAGGGCGGCCGTGACCGTCCCGCTACGGCGGCCGGGCCCTTCCCCGCCCCAGGCCCCTCCCGCTCCTCCGCCGCCGCCGCCATGTGACGCGGCCGCCGCTGGGGGGCGCCGCGCGCGCGGGGCCGGTAGGGGGCGCCGGGCGCGCCGCCGGTCCGTGCAGCATGGCGGCGGCGGGGGCTGAACAGACACAGCCAGAGCCGGCCGCCGGCGCCGCGCCCGAGGAGTCGTCGGACAGCGAGCCGGAGCAGGAGCCCGGCTCCTTGCAGAAGCTTATCCGCAAAGTCTCGACGTCCGGGCAGATCCGCCAGAAGGTGCGTGCGGCGGGAGGGGGCCGCGGGCAGGGCCTCGGGGTCCTGGCGGCGCTGCGGCCGGCGCTGCCTCCGCGTTACGCTCGGTGCTGCCGCCTCTCCCTCCCGCCCGGCACGGTCCGTGGCTCCGCCAGCCCGGGCCGCCGCTTTGGGAGTTGCCAGAGACCCCCGAAGCTTTCCCCTGGGGCCTGCCACCGAGCCCGTCCCTCAGGGAGCTGCCGGCGATCCCCCTCACATCCCACTCCTCTCCCCTCACAACGACCCCTCAGGGGTCTGCCTGTGACCACCTCACATCCGCCAAGGCGCCCCTTAGGGACTCGGCCATTTCCCCCTTTCCCCCTGTTGGCTGGAAAATCTTTAATTGTAACAAATATTGTCTGTGTTAGAAAGGTTTATTTATCCCGTCGTTTTCGGTGACAGCCCGACCACCCCTCCGGGTCCTGCCGGCGACCTCCAACCCCCACCACAGAGACCCCCTGACAGCACCCCCATCAGCTTTCCAGGCACCTGTGAGCCCCAAAATGCCCCTCAGGGATCCCCATAATGAACTGTTCTCAGGTGCCCGTTAACAGCTGCCCCCTAAATGCCCTTCAGCATCTGCCCGTGCCCCACAAACTGCCCTCAGTGGCTCCTGCAGCTGCCCCCGTGCCTCTCTGAACTCTCCAGTTCTCCTCCCCAGCAGCCCAGCTTAGGCCACCTTCTTCCCAGTGCCCAGGTTCAGACCTCCCAGGGAGCTTTACCCAGCTCAGTGAACAGCGTGCCCAGGCTCAGCAGGACCCCGTCTGTCCTCTTTCCTTCCTTATCCTCTTTCCCTGTAATATTTTATTGGAGTCATGGAGGTCAGATTTGGGCTCCTACTCCCTAGTGCTGCTCCATTTACCTGGTATTTGAATCCTCAAGGGCATCCTCACTCCATGAAGCTGCATCTCCCCTTTTCTCCTCATGTCACAGTTGCCACGGGCTCTTTCCTCACCTCCCCATGCCTTGAGAACCTCTGCACATCCCAGCCATAGCTCCCTGTCACAGTGTTCCATTATCGCTTTCTAGCACCTCCTTCTTCCATGGTCCTGTTGTACTTGCCACAAGTCACTGTTTTATATTCAGAGCTCTGCTCTGGAAGGTGCAGCCCTTGTTATTCCCTGCAGTCATTGAGTGGTGCCTCCCTCAGCATTTTCCCATCCTTTTTGTGCATCCTAATTTTCCCCATCTTGCACTGTGCTGTTTTACCTTGCTGTAGCCAAATAGCAATATTTAGCTTTCTGTCTGGTCAAGCAGTGATCTTACAGCTGGTTAGTCTTTGTTCCCAGCTTTGTCTGTCCTGCTTTGCCCTCCTGGTAAGGTAACAGTTCTTCCACCAAGGTTCCCTTGGCCCAGTCATGTTTTATCCCTCTGTGGCTCATCCTAGAACAATAACACCATTTCAATGGGCAGTAACAACATTTTGCAGCTACAGCCAAAACTGTAGTTCTTCCGTATTGTTATTGTAAAAGAAGATGTGAAGGTTTCCTTCAACTTTAAGGTGTGAACCACACATAGGGAGTTTCCCTTTTCTGTACTCTTTATTATAGCAGCATGATTTTTCTTTGTAGCCACTAAGCTCCTGTGTAACTCTTGGACTGTTGTATCATGTGTTTCTGCTTAGAAATACCAGGTTAGTTACTCTGTCATCACCTGCCTTGTGCTCACCTTGTCTCTGCAGCATGGACAAGCACGGTGCAGCTGTGGGGATGCAAAAGCTCGCTCAGCACTGGCGCTGCAGCTCAGTGTTGCTTCTCTTGTACTCAGAGCAAAGGAGAGTAAATGTCTCTGCATGGTGCAGTGTCTGAAGCATTGTTCAAAGGGCTATTTTTCATGCTGGCTGGTTTGCCCTGCTTTCAAACACAGGACCTGCCATCATTCTGCTGTGCATCATTGTTTGGCTGCATTGGTCCCAGTTATGAAAGCCCTGTGACAGAGTGCAGTGGCACGTGAGGACTGCACGGGGCTGCTTCCTCCATCTGTGAGGTGCTGCTGGCACTGCCACTTGGGCTTCTTGGGCTGAGGCACTGCGGGGCTGGGCTGTGAAATGGTTCTTTTGATGAAACCCTGGAGCCCTCTAAACCTGTTGATGTTCTGTATCAAGCAGATCTCAGCTCTCCTGTAGCACCAGGTGACTTAGGCTAGTCTGATAGTCTGCTGTGAAAAAAAAAAATAAGCCTTTTGAGATATTTTCCTGTATCCAGAGTGCTGAATATTAAGAATTTGGCTTGCTGGAGATTGGATGAACCTTGGGAGTTTTTACACCACTTGCGGCAGTCTCATGTGAAAAGGAAGGGAGGATGCTATAGTCTGTCTCCATGGTGGTGTTTGTGTTGAGAGCAACACAAAGATTTTTCCAGTGCTAGAATGGGAATTCTTGCTTATAGCAAGATGTTAGAGATGCTAAGGTGAAAGGTGCATTGGGTTGTATTTTTGTTTGGCTATAGCAGAACATGTCCTCCTGTCCCTACCTAATCATTTTCCCTGTTTTACATCACTTCTCCTGTCAGCATGGCTGGAAAAAGACAAAACCAGCCACTTCTATATGCAAACATAAGCATATTAAGAACAAGGATTATAAACAGATATTGTCTACAACTGTTAAGCCTCCTTGTGTTAACCTGCCAAAAACCTTTGACTAAATCATGTCAAATTTTCCACGTGGGCCCAGGTATTATGGTATTCAGGATTGATTTGTTCTCTTGCTTGTTGATGTCATTTTGGTTTGTCATTGCCTTTTCTGCATGCTGCTGCTTGTATATACTCTTTCCTTGCCCTCGGGGCAAGAAGCAGAGACAACTTTGTGGGTAATCATGGTTTTGATGGGACTTTGAGGAGCTTGCCTCCTCTGTAAAGGCAGACCTAATTCTGAATTTGTCTGTTGAATGATAGAGTGCTGACTGCTGTAAGCTGTAGAAGCTGTTGGACAGGTCTGTCAGTGACAGTAAGAGATGCAGGCAGACTTTTACTATGGCCTGAGGACATAAATCTCTTCTGACCACATCTTTTGCTGCTGTTAGCTTAAGACCATGCCTGTAAGTACAGCTAAATCACCATGGCAGCTTACTGTTATCACAATTTGAGTGTGAAATCTGTTGTGCCCATGGAATTCCTTAGAATTTACTTGTTTGTCACAGTTGCAAGCACTTTGAAGGTATGTTTTTCTTCTTCTTGTCCTGCCATCTGTTTTCTGAAGAAATGCTGTAAAGTAAAGCTTGCTTGCAAGACCATAAAACTTTAGTGGATTTGTCTCAAAGCCCCACAATTGTCCAACTGTGTTTGACTGAAGCAGCTTTGTGTGATAGTAGTGGGGCAGGCGGAATCATTTGGATGTTTAAGGACTAAGGTGTTAATGTTCAGGGTCTAAAGACAAATCACAGGTAATCTCTTCAGCTAAAAAACCTGTCCCTTGTGAGGCAGTGGGCAGGGGAAGGAGAAGTGGAAGGCTCAGTGTTTGGAAAGTGAAATACTGTGTTCTAACATACTTACTTGCTTTTAGCTAGAAAGAATTTTTGAGGCAGAGAAGGTATTAGGGAAGCATGTTTAGCAGTCCTAATTAGTGTTATTATTATGGAGAAAGAATAAAGCCTCACACAATCAGGTATAGCAGGTAATGTGAGTGGTCTTGGCTCAGCTAGCTGAGAAGCAGAGGCTGAATTGTGTGCTTGATCAGCCACCTGACAGAGAGACCTGACAGACTTGCACCAGCATAAGGCCTCAGAGTGCACTGCTTTTAGCTCCTCTCTGATCTCAGGCTGGTGTTGGTACAGCTGCAGAAACTGTTGGTCAGCTAAGATTATGTACTTTTGAATGGATAGGAATTAGGAAAGAGATGAAATGAACTAAGAGAAGGAAGATGTGTGTGAGGAGAGGCAACAGCAGGACCCTGCTCCCACCTCCTAAGCAGTGCTGAGACCTCAGCTGGAGTTAGCTGAAGTGGTAATGGCATCTCATTGTCACTCAGCATGGACCGAGGCACAGGAATACCCAAAGTGGTCCTGGGAGCTGAGGGTGTGAAACCAAGGAGCACAGAACCTTTTATGAGCTCTGACAGTGAAATGTGTTTCTTCCTTTGAACTTGACCTTTCATTTCCAGCCTCACATTACAACCCTCAGAAAGCTGGAGGGTGGATGAACAGGCCGTTTTCCCATTTCATTCATCAGTTCTGTGAGATTTCCAGCCTGTCAGCTTTGGTATGTTGAGCTCTCAGTTTGTTTACCAGACAGGATTTCAGCAGCGTCCTTGGGTGGCATCAGGAGAACTTCTTGTTTAGACTAGTTCAGTCTAAGTTCTGTTTACTTTCACAAGCAATTTCTCTGTAATATTTTCAGTTTTATAAGCATTTATCATTGCCTTGAACTTTTTAAGACAAGTTTGCAATGTATATCTCACTGGAGTTGCAAACAGAGGCGAGCAGCTCTCCCAACTTTCTGGGAAGCTGTCTAGCTCGGGTAGCAGAGATATGTCAAGTTCCTTTATATTCTGAAAAGCAGCACAGATGAACTGGTGTTGAGCTTTATGCTGCAGTGGACAGACTGTTCAGTATCTGAACTAGCACATCTCCCTTCTCTGTGCTGTATACCAGATAGAGGTGATGCCTTTTGTGCAATGGGGAGTTGTGATTCTCTTTCTGACCAGTAGCCTTGAGGTCTTGGAGCCATCCTGCAGGATAAAGGCAGAAAAACAGGGTGAAGCAAAATGTTTCTCCAGGTTTTTGTGCAAGTTTCCAGACTGTGCTGCGCTGAGTTCTCACACATATGGTGGGCAGCATGGGCAACTAAAGAAAGCTCATTTTGTTTCTTCTTGTATTGCTTATTAGATAAAATGTCCATTTTATAGGTAAAGAAGTGGAATTTTTATTTCTGGAGGGTAAATGTTTTAAGGTTTCCTGAGATTAGAATGAAGAAAAGGAGAAGTTTATTAGTTTGAAATACAATTATTATGATAAGAAGCAAAGCATTTCAGTAAAGCAATATTGTAAAAG